GTTTGATAATTTCTAGTAAAAATTCTTTCTTCCACAGTCACTTTAAACTTAACTACTTCTATAACACACGCTATAAATCACAGTGATTCACACATTTTACTTACGGTGCTTACTGTTCGCTTGACTTAATTATCTATCTCTTCAATCCGCTGGTTTTTCTCGCCAGGCTTATATACTAAAAAAGGGCGTCTCGATTGCACTCGGGTCTTCATGATCATTGGAGAAATTTCAGCGCACATGCTCCCAGCGTCACACGACTTCCCTGTCGTAACACTGCCCCTTCCTTAGTACTGTTCGTCCCGAACAATAGCCACTTACATTAAACCAATATATAATTAACAATAACTTAATTAAATGGACAGAATTTACAAACAAATAATTAAAATACAACAAAGCCTCTTAGTTTTACAGGACGTTTCTTCTTCTGTACTGATCTCCATCTCATTGGCTTCTGCTTCACGTGGAGTTCATATTGTTGCGTCATCGAGATCATGTGATTCTCACGCCTTTTACTTTCTAGAACTATCCTGTACTTTGGCGAATGCTCTAGTGTTTGCTAGATATAGGGTAGTCGGGTATATAAAAGAGGGGAAGGTAATGTGTGTAGACAGTGATAATTGAACTGCAGTCAGAAGTATTATTGACGTTCGTTGTTATAGCGTTTGTTTAGCGCGATTGTTGAAGTTGAGTGTATCGGTAAAGTTATATTCGGAAAGAATAAACCAGTTTTATTAAGACATGTGTCGTTAAAATTTCGTCGGAACGAAGTTACGGAAAAATCAATTAACAAACGGAGACGTAACAATATGCTTCATCAGGAAATGTCCCATTATCGGTAACAGTTACACCAGTGGTAGCAGCTTCATTAACAGCTTCACTGTTTTCCACCTCAAAACCGGGTAGAGTTTTTTCTTCGACAGTGGCTTTTTTTCAGGTAACACGCCTTCAGCAGCACCATTTGTTCCGTTGTTCACTTCGTTCCAATTGAAATGTCCTGGACCTTGATAATGCCAAAGCTTGTTGGCATGCACCATCTTTTGCTTACCTCGCCGACCACATTTTATTCGGAAAGTCACGTCTGAGAGATGATCCGCTATGTCATATGGGCCTTCCCATGGAGAAGACAACTTAGGAGACTTCCTTTTGGCCTTTCTGGGATTATACAACAACACTTTGTCTCCTGGTACAAAACTGACTTCAGTAGATCTCTTATCATAACATAGCTTCATGGAATCAGCAGACGTTTTTAAGTTTGAATGTACTTGATGATAAATATCCTCCATCCTTTCAGATAATACTTTCACGAATCCTAGCACATTTTCAGGCAACTCTTCGTAAAGTTGGCGTGCTGTCATCAGGTCAACTGGCAACCAAAGTTCCTAACCAAACATCAGCTTTGCTGGAGTGTATCCAGTTGCCTAATGCTCTGCCATTCTATAGGCCATCAACAGTGGAGGGAGTAAGACATCCCAGTGTCCAATTGTACTTTTCTACAATCCCATCAGACTGTGGGTGAAGTAGCATTGTCCTGGTCTTTTGTATGCCAAACAACTTGCAGTATTCTTGCAACACAGTTGCTTCAAAGTTATGGCTTTGATCCGAATGCACTTCATATGGCATACCAAACCTGAAGAAGAAATCACTACAGTTGTAGCTTCCTGAATTGGTATTGCATATGCCTTAGGCCACTTGGTGATATAATCCATCACCACACAAATGTACCTCTTACCAGCATGAGCTTGGGGCAAAGGTCAATGGCTACTCTTTTCATTGGTGCACCAACTTCATATAACTTCATAGGAGCACATCCATTATGCTTGGGTCCCCTTTTAGCACAACGTGTACTGCAGGTCCTGTACCATTCTTCCATATTTTGCCTTATACCTATCCAGTAAAATCTCTGTCGTAGGTGACAGGATGTCTTCTTACCTTTGAGATGTCCTCCTGTTAAACTATCATGAGATTGACGTAACACAACATCATATAACTTTCTTGGTATAACTGTTTGCCAGGTCGTCACTTTCCCATCTGCATTTTCCCATCTCTGAACAAGAATACCATCATTAAACTTCAACTGGTTCCATTGTGCTCAACAGTTCTTTGTCACAGATCTTAAGGTAGTCATCTTCTCCCAAGCAGGGCGCAAAACACTTGCTCGTAGAAAATCAATTACTGGCTTCAAAGCTCGATCTGTCTCCTTTTCTGCTTTAATATCTATACTTGGTTCCACTTCATCATCATCAACTCCTTCAGTCACCTGGTTAGTTCAACCTCTCTTTTGCAGCAATGTCTGTGGTCATTTTTGCAGGGTCTTCAGCTCAGTCCGTCGGCATTTCCATGCTGGTCTATCTTTCCAATCCAATGTGCCAGTTGTCCCTCTGGGTTCTTTAATTATTTTAACCAGCGTAATGCGGCATGGTCTGTCCTGATGGTAAACCTGACATCATAGAGATAAGGATGGAAATATGTCAGACTCTTTACTATAGCAAGGAGTTCCCTCCATGTTACACAGTAGTTCCTCCCTGGTTGACTCATGACCCTCATGAAGTAGGCCACCACATGTTCGTTTTTGCCCACTCTCTGAGACAACACTCCTCCAATTCCGACATTTCTAGCATCACAATCCAGTATGTACGGCAGTGAGGGATTTGGAAGCTTTAAAAGTAAAGCTGAGGGCAATTTTTCTTTTAATGTCCTGAAAGCATGCTGGGAAGAAACTGTCCATTCGAACTTCTGGACTTTGTTTGTCAAATCATGTAGTTGAGCAGCTATAGTTGCAAAGTCCTTCAGAAACTTCCAGTAATAGGTACAAAGTACCAAGAAACTTCTTAACTGTCTGGTGTTAGCCAATCACGCACTGCTTTCACCTTGTCAGGATCAGTTCGTGCACCATGCTCACTTACAATGTGACCAAGTAAACACGTCTTTCTGGAACAAGTGGCATTTCTTGGGATGGAGTTTGAGGTTTGCTGCTTTCAAACGCTTGAATACTTCCTCTAAGCAGGACATTTCCTCATCAAACGTTATTGCAAACACAATGACATCATTCAGGTACACTTGGGCTATCCTCCATTGTAGGCCTTCCAGTACTCTTTCCACCAGCCTCTCAAATGTTGCTGGAGTATTGCCAGAGACCTTGGCCATAACTAAATGCAGTCTTAGGTTTATCAGCTTCAGCCATTTTCACTTGATAGAAACCCGACTTTAAGTCCAGAATTGAAAACCATCTGGCTCCACTTAGGGCATCAAAAGTATCATCACTTCTTGATAGTGGGTATGAGTTCTTTTCGGTTATACTGTTAAGAGCCCTGAAGTCCACACAGCAACGTTGGGTACCATCCCACTTCTGGATTAACATGATGGGAGCTGACCAGGGACTATCTGATTTCTCGACTATTCCTCCTTAGGCCATCCATGACCTTCTCCATCTCTTGTCACTTTGCCGGGGCTATTCTCCTCGGAGGTATCTTTATTGGACGGTGATTGCCTATGTTTATTCTGTGCTCCACGTGGTCTGTGCAGCTGAGGTCATGATCTCTTTTTGAAAAGACGTCTGCATTATTCGCCAAACGTTCCATAACCCGAAGAGCCTGTGATGATGACAAATGGACTATGCTCTTCTTATAGAGGTCAGTTAGATGTTCTGGGAGTGTATGTCCTTTCTTTATGGTTGTATTTCTTGCCTTAACATTAACTGGCTCTACCTCAACACACTCAACAATCCCCCTTCCTTATGTGTCTGCTCACATTTAGAGAAATTAGCCACTGTTATGAGTACTACTTGATGACCTGCCACAAGGAACCTTCCAATCTTCACGTCTGCTGACCAGGATGGGTCTTCCACAAGCATTGGGCTTCCTTGGGGATGTTCTTGTATTCTGCCTCAAATTATCTTTAA